TTGATCATAACATTAATATAGTAACATTTCTCAGTGATAGATAATGGCATTAATATAATAACATTTCTCAGTGATAGATAATGGCATTAATAACATTTCTCTGTGGTAGATAATGGCATTAATATAGTAACATTTCTCTGTGATAGATAATGGCATTAATATAGTAACATTTCTCCATGATAGATAATGGCATTAATATAGTAACATTTCTCAGTGATAGATAATGGCATTAATAACATTTCTCCGTGGTAGATAATGGCATTAATATAGTAACATTTCTCTGGTTAAGCTCATTTAAAAAGTTCAGTTATAATACTGTTTTGTGTATAGAAACATTAATCAATCTGCCTGCTAAACATCAAACTCTTGTCCATCAGATTCTTTGCTGCTGAGATAGTCTGCGGACTTCAGTTTCTCCATCGATATGGCATTGTCCACCGGTAATTAATACTGAACTATTTATAAGGTCTTTTCTCTACACTGGGAGTTATATCTTTCTAATTATATTATAGTTTATTTTTATTACTCCGGTGTGTTTACTTTGCTGTATCCACCACTCTTCTTTTTCCATCATAGATGATTTACATAAAGAAAAGCCTCAGAATAGTTTTTACACTTTTAAAGACTGCGTCAGATTCTAAGCATATGTGGTCACCCAGTTTATATTTCTTATTAAAGGGCAGGCCTTGCGTGAACATTTTGCTTTGACCATAATGGAGTTTATGCCTTTAAAGGACCAATCCAAACACCATGACCACTATAGCTCACTGTAGTGGTTATGGTGCCAGGTGTGCCCTGGCACCCTCCTCCCATTATAAGGAGTTTGACTTCCTACCTAGGGTTGGCTCTTCAATTACACCACCAATTACACTTCAATTACGCTACCATTAAGCAGGAACTCCCGCAAGCTCTCCGGAGCTAAGACCAAGGAGTGTAGGTCATTTTCTGAAGTCCTGAAGGGCAGAGCTTAGCTCTGGAGAGCAAACAGATGTTCCAGTTTAGGAATTCCTGTTTCTCTAGCAATGACAGTGGAGGCAGTGATCCCAGGCAAGGAGTCCTAATTTTCCAAACCGATTTAACTCCTTACCATTAAGCAAGCTGTAGTGGTTATGGTGCTTGGAGTGTTGCTTTAAAAACATTGCTCCTTCAACTAACCAATTTTTATCTGGACATTTCACATTAGAGAAATATTTACAATGATATCTCTAGCCCAAAATATCATATAAAACATGTTACTTTGAAAAAAACCTAGAGACTCCTCACTGGCAGTTTCCTAGCACCATCACAACTACATGAAGCAATAGTTATCCCTTGTTCTCTCCAGATAACTTTGAAGGTGTTCTCCTTTCTTTCTTGATCAGAGCATGGGAGGTGTTACGGTGTATTAATTTGGGCAGCAGTTGCATTGCAGAGGACAGTTCTGATTCAAGATATTGCTAGCACAGGCTTGTGGGCAGGGCTGGATTAAAGGGATTCTCTAGTGCCAGGAAAACAAACCTGTTTACCTGGCACTGTAGAATCCTGGAGTGCGCCCTTCCTCCCGCCCCCTTCAGACACTTACCTGAATCCAGCGCAGAGGGTCAGGCTCCGCCCATGCTCTTCCCTGGCCAACGTCCGCCGGCAGGGGGAGACCTAATGCACATGCGCGGCAATGGCCGTGCGCACATTAGACCTCCCCATAGGAAAGCATTATTCATTGCTTTCTAATGGGGATTCCAGTGATGCTGGAGGTTCTCATGCATAGTGTGAGGACTTCTCGCGTCATTTAGACAACCAAAAGTGGTCTAAGAAGCCGGAAGTCCCTCTAGTGGCTGTCTGGCAGACAGCCACTATAGGAGGAGTTAACCCTGGAAGGTAATTATTGCAGTTTATAAAAACTGCAATGATTACACTTGCAGGATTAAGGGTGATGGGAGTTGGCACCCAGACCACTTCAATGGTCATTCAAGGGGCTGATTTTTTTGACACTACTCTTGCTACATGCTCTTGATTAAGTATGGAAACAAAACTGGTGTCGACTGGCTGACAATAATATTAGGTAAAGTAATGCTGACTTTGAAGCAGCAAGAGCATATGCATAGTACACACTCTCTCTAACACTGTGGTATGTTCCCTTTCTTCTACACTCACTACATACACGTTTTCTCTGTCCCAAACTGAATAGTAAGAAGGTCGGGAGAGTAGTGGACCATTTATGCCAAGCTCAGGGTGATGTCTGCACAGTATGCTCTTGGTTGGTCATCCTGAATGATTGGCAGGCATCCTGATGTGTATTCATGCCAGGCTGACCATCTACTTCTTTGTGCATACACAACCCCTTTTTGGGCATGTTTGTCCCGTTGGGCGGTACTAGTTACGTGATTCACAGCAGTGGCCCATCCTTTTACCCCGCCCACCGAAATCCTGCTTCACCGGACACTGTTGTTAGGAGATATGTATTTACTTGTAAGATGAAAATGAGAGATTCGCATAGGGTAAGTGTTTTCTGATGGCTATATCCTGTAAGTTTCCCTCCAGCACCAGACGCTTGGAAGGTATAACTGTTTTAGTGTTTTCTGTCGATAAGATTCTGGTATTTGGCCCAACATAATTATCAGCACCAGGCCCAATGGGCTCTTAATCCGGCCCTGCTTGTGGGCAGGGCTGGACTGGCCCACCAGAATACCGGTAAATTTCCTGGTGGGCCGTCGGCACCTGGGGCCGGTCAGACAGCTGGCTGTGCTGGCGGCCGCAGGGTGAGTTGAGCTGCGATGTCTTTGTTCTGCTCCCCCGCGCGCTACTTATTGAGACCGGGGCCGGGATATGACGTCATATTCCGGCCCCGGTATCATTGAGCTGCACGCTGAGGAGCAGGACAAAGACATCACAGCTCAACCCACCCATCAGAAAACACATACCCTATGCGAATCTCTCGCTTTCATCTTACAAGTAAATACATATCTCCTAACAACAGTGTCCGGTGAAGCAGGATAGCCGTCAGAAAACACATACCGTATGCGAATCTCTCGCTTTCATCTTTCAAGTAAATACATATCTCCTAACAACAGTGTCCGGTGAAGCAGGATTTCGGTGGGCAGGGTAAAAGGATGGGCCACTGCTGTGAATGACTTATGGCACTGGCATAGATTTTTTTTTTATGGTGCAATGACTTATGGCACTGGCATAGATTTTTTTTTTCAGGGCTGATTTGTATCCCCAGTCCAGCCCTGCTTGTGGGGTCCTACTACATTAAATGGGGCACCTGCATTCCACTTTCTCTGAGACATACTAGCCTAAATAAGACATTGGTTAAAGGGATACTATTGTGACAGGAATACAAAGCTGTATTTCTGGCACTATCGCTCTCCTTGCCTCCCTGGTGAGTAAAGGGTTAAAAACCTTTTAACAGAAATTACGGAAACAGAACTCGCTTTTTTTTCTTTACAGAGATATAAAGCCCGATAACATCTTAATGGACAGCGTGGGGCACCTGAAGATCGCCGACTTTGGCTTAGCACTGGAAAACATGCGAGGAAGGAAAAAAGCCAAAGAACACGCTGGAACCCTGGGCTATATTGCGCCAGAGGTGAGACCAACACCATGGCTAATGTGCATACATTAAATGGCTCTGCAGCAGTTAGGCTCGCTATCCATCCCATGAGGAATACATTTCCAAACGAAATCAAGAAATTACAAGTTATTTTTAATGTAGTTCCAGTACGTGACTGGCCTAAAGCTTCACATCTGGGAGCACACGTGTTGTAGTGCACATTCTGTGTGTAGTTGGGATGACTAAATGTATACAACCATCCCTTCTGAATTCAACTAAACCATTCACACATTTACTCACAAAAATAAATAGAAGATTATATGTAAACAGTTGTTTGGCGAGAGGTGGATTTGGATTCTCTGAGTGTGTGAAATTCCTAAGATATGTTGGCAAACACTTTAGCAAGAAAGATCCAACGCTTGGTGTTTTTTGTAAGAAATAAACAATTGAATTTAGGGCTGGTGCAAGGATTTTACGCATTTTGCCTACACCTCCCCCCCAAAAATGCATCTTCGTCTGTGTGTCTCTTAAACCCCTCTTGAATTTCCGTTTGTCTTTCTTAACCCCTCTTACACCTCTTTATGTTCTTACACCCCCTTTAGTCTTATTCCCCATTTTTCTACTTTGTATGTCTTATTTTCCCCTGAGCCCCTTCGTGTGTTTCTTAGTTCCACAGTCACTCTGTGTGCCAATTCATCACCCACAGTGCCTTTGTGCCTCTTTTGTTTCTCTTCTCCTCTGTCTGCCACTTCCCCCAGCACTTTTATGTGTCGCTTTTCCCTCCACACCCCTGTGCATGTTTCTTTTTTCCAAGCCTGTTTTGTATGTCTATTTTCACCATCCTCTCTGTGTCTCATCCTCCCCTTATCCAGTCCATTTGTATTTCTCTTTCTCCCCCCACAGCCCCTTTCGTATTCCTCTCTTCAAGCCCCTTTTGTGTTTCTTTCTCCACTTCCCCTGTGTATGTGTCTCTTCCCTGCTTCACCTCCATGTGTCTTTCTCCCCTTTTACAGCCCCTGTGTCTGTCTCTTTTGCCCTTTCCCCAGCCCCTGTGTCTCTTTCTTTCCCCCACAGCCTGTTATATATGTCTCTTACACCCCAGTCGTTTTGTGTTTCTCTTTCTCCTCTTCCCCAGCTCCTGTGTGTCTCTTCCTGCTTCCTTCTAGCTGATAATCTCGAAGATTGCACCACCCATACCTGTGCACCCTAAGGCAGCCACCTGTGCCGCCTTATGGTTGCGCCAGCCCTTATTGAAAGGTTTAGCTGACCTACAAGGTCCAATACAATCTGCATATAGGAGTACTGATACAAAATATGGGCAGCATATTATTTTTCTTATCAAGAGACATTACATGGTACATAATGTAATATCCAGATTCCACAAATAACTGTATATCTTATCGATTCTTATCTTGAAATATACCTCATAGTACTAGTTACTTAAAATAAATATTGATTTTTAAATCTTTAGATGCTTCTCGGACAACGTTACAATGCTGCTGTGGACTGGTGGGCATTTGGGGTAATCCTGTATACCATGGCCACCGGAGAATTCCCATTTTATTGTGGGAATACTAGTGAAACCTTGGTGGCTTCAGTGCTTCAGGATACTCTGAGCTACCCAGAGTGTCTAAGCACTGTAACACAGGATATCCTAAAAAAGGTATGTATGATCATATTTTGTAATATGCAAAAATATTTTTCATTTATTTCCAATTCTTAGAGATTGCTTCCACAATTCTCATTGAAAAAGAAGCTCTTGAGTATCATTACTATAAACACAGATATATGGAATTTGTATCGCCCAACATATGGACATGCAGTTCTAGCCGCAGGGTAGGCATTTTTTTCCCCTCCTTGTAGCCCTGCCATTAACAAGCGGAAGAGCTGCTGAAGGAGGCCCAGCCAGGGCAGGGAGGATGTGATCTTCACCTCTGCTGGGTGAAGGCACTTCACTTCTTGCAAACCCCGGCTCCATCTAGAATGGGAGAGTGGCCGTGGTAACAATAACAACGCTGTGAAAGTCAGGGCTTGCAAGAATCAGAAGATCAGCCACCAGAGGGGAAGGCTGAGAGCATCCTTGTCCCTCCTGGCCAAACTCTGCAAAGACCCAGGGAGGGACATCCTTTTGTAAATGTAGGGCCTGGCTTGCCAGGCCACTTACAGGTGTACAATCTGTACACCCATAATGTCGGTCTTGGCCCCCAACCTGTAAAAAGGAAGAGAGGGAGGCAAACAGAACATATGCACACATTACAGACTGCCAGCAAACACCACACACAGCCAGCAAACATAACAAATGCACATTATACAGAGATGGACAGAGGGAGAGACTATGGAGTGAGGCAGTGGCTGGGACACTTTGGGTTACTGACTAAACTCTAATTTTTCACAAATTAAAGGGACACTATAGTCACTAGCTTAATGTAGTTGTTCTGGTGTCTACAGCCTGTCCCTGCAGGCTTTTTAATGTAAACACACTGCCTTTTCATAGAAAAGCTAGTGTTTACATTACTGCCTAGTAGCATCTCTAGTGGCACTCACTCAGACGCTGAGCGCTCCCCATAGAGATACACTGATACAATCAGTATTGTACACACAATCCATGGGCCCTGGTGCGAAACTGATCCGTGGGATCCCTCCCCTCCCTCCCCTCCACAGACACACACACACACAAACATACAAACAGACAGGCACACATACATACATACAGACACACACATACGGACTGACACACACAAACATACAAACAGACAGGCACACAAATATGCATACATACAGACACACACACACAGACAGGCACACCCACATACAAAGACACATACATACAAACAGACAGGCACACATAGAGAAACACACACACACACACATACAGACAGACACACACACACGACACACATACATACAAAGACACATACATACATACATACATACATACGACAGGCACACACATACAAAGACACATACATACATACAGACAGGCACACATACAAAGACACATACATACATACAAACAGACATGCACACATACAGACAGACACACACATACAAACAAACACACACAATGTCTAAGTCACCCTCCTGTTTCTTACTTTTTAGGTGCAGGAAGGTGACTTTCCCTGCGGTCCAGTGGTGGCTCGGGTTGATGGGAGTCAGAGTTCCCACTCTGACTCCCTCTGCTTCCTCCCCCGCGGGCTCTGTGGTAGCTGGGAGGAGTGACGTGCAGTCACTTCCTCCCAGCAGTGATAATCTCAGCCCGGTCGTGCTGTTAAAGAGCCGCAGCGCTGACCGGGCCCCCTGACAATCCATCTCCTTTGGGTGGCCCTAACAGCATGGGTCACCCAATGGACCCCTTCATGTGCAGCCCCGGCGGTCGCAAAAGATGCCTGGAGTGACGGGCCCGGTCGCAGCTGCAACCCCTGCGACCGCGGTATGTACACCACTGGATTCAATGCACCTCTATGAGAAGATGCTGGCAGGCGCAGCACATTATTTTGCCGCCCATGCGCAATATTTTCTATAGGAAAGCATTGGATTGGCTGATAACGTCAAATGTGATGAGCTCAGCTATATAGGCAGAGCAAGTCACTGGAAAAAAAAAAGGTACATTTAATACCTGTATATAATACCAAACGGCAAAGGGGTCGGAAACCTAAAGGGAGTTTTATACCGAGCATCATGTAACGCTTACCATTTACATTTAACACTATAAACAGTGTAGTTTTGATATAGCAGCTACCAGGTCACTCTGAATGGTTTCTGTCAAAGTAATGCAATAACACCTCCCAATAGGAGACTGCAATTGCTAACCTCTCTTTTCAATGTTACACCAAGCTGAATCTGGTGGTAACTGGACTGAGTTAGTGAATGTTTTGGCCAGGTGACACCTTTTTGTCATATTCAATGGAAACCAGGTGTTTTTCTCCTACTAATCTCTATAGAAAGCGTTACTAGTAACAGGAGCCGTAAATGACCTATAATAAACGGTGAATTTTTGCAGCGTGGAAACAGTCACAAGTCATAAACTTTACTTACTGCCATGTAAATGGTTTGTCTGTAGCTACATGCAACAATCATTAGGGTTTATTTACTGAGAATGATTTGACAACATGCAAAATGTCTGTCAGTGTGAAGTTGGACACTTTTTACTTGGCAGGATTTGAGACTTTGCTTTCTGTTAGAGTTCTTTGTACTATCGGTTATATCAATTGCTGTTTGCTTTTTGTTTTGTTAACAAAGGTAATTAAAAGTTTATTTCACACACACTCCTGTTCCTCTTTACAGCTCCTGCTGAAAGAACCTGCCATGCGGTTGGGGAGAAAAGGCCTAATCCGTTCTCACAGCTTCTTCCAGTCTATTGACTGGGAGGAGTTGGAGGCCGGACGGGTAGAGCCTCCCTTCACGCTAAGTACAGTAAGTACATCAACAGAAAAGTTAAATATAAAGCAGGTTATAAATCTGCCTATAAAATCTTTAAAGAGAGAAAATGGCCAAGTGAGGTGGGTGATACCATTTGATGGATGTTGTTGTCATGTGACCGGTGGGTTATCTGCAGATTCTATATTTCCTGCTACCTAAAGATGTTGCTACATAGTAAAATGAGCTTTGCATAAGCATTGGATATTTTTTTTACCAATACTGTACAATCTTTGATTATATCTTAAACTGGGCATTGTGAGGAATTTTTAGAGGATTTTTTTTTTTTTAGTTTGTCCAAAAAGCCAGACTTGGGGCGGGGCCGGGCCGCCGAGCTGAGCGGCAGCCATCCGAGCTAGCTCCGGCAATGGGCCGCATCAATATAAGGAAATAATGCACTAAAAGCCCACCTGGAACCGAGACAGACATGGGCATTGAACGAGAGGTGGAACGGGAGCACACCGCATGAGCCCCAGCTAGACCACGACCGAGCTATCCGCATAACTTAGGCAAGATGGGCCCACGGGGCCGAGGCGCATGCGGCGATGGCCGGAGGCGAGAGACAGCACGGCAGAGGGAGAGAGGGGGATCCGGACCCTGCCCCGCTCCCCCCACCCTTGGGCCGGTGGGGGTGATCCTGGCCCACAAGTCGAATCTCCAGAGCCTGGAGGCGAAGGGCCCATATAATGAGGAATCCTTCCTCATGAAGAGCCAAGATGGCCGCTGAATGTGCAAGCTGCAGGGAGTTACGCGGGGTCGCCTGGGCCCTCCGGTGTGGCGGATCCCACGGATGGACCCCTCCGGGCGGCAGAATGGTCAGCGCGGAGCCAGCCCTTACCCCAGGATTTGGTGGTGGTCCAGGGAAGAATGCCCCCAACTCTGTGAGCCCTGTGTCGTCGGGGTGAGCTGGACCCCTGGCGGACCGGTGGCCGGGGAGGCGAGCGCCGGCGACATGCATGAGACCGGAAAAGGGTGAGGCACCATGGGGCTGGAGCTCCGACGGGGAACTGCGGGAGTTGGGGAGGTGCAGGGGACAAGGGGCCGAGGACTTTTCAGGGGTGGGAGTCTGCCGGACTGCCGACATCCCTGAGTGCCCACAGCACCGCAGTGTTCCCGGTTGCACGGCCGGAGCAGGCCTGGAGGGGAAAAGAGGGGGACAGATGCACCGGGGGTGCTAGAGAGACCTTGCAATGACCGACCGGCTTGACATATAGGAGCGCCCTTGGCATTAGCGTACCAGAGGCCACGGTAGAGAGCAGCCTGCACAGTTACAACTTATTTTGCCAGGCACTACTATGCCACCTCCAGCGGAGAGACTCAGTTATCGCCGCTCTACAGATCCACTTCACCTGAGCGCTGTCCCAAGCAAAGAATAAATAAAACAACAAAGGACAGATAAAGATAACGGGACTGTTCCATGATAATTCGTTTAAGAAACCGTTCTTTCTGCAATTTTAGTTTTTACTTGCTTTGATTATTTGATACTAGTTTGTCATTACTAAGTTAGCTTGAAAGGCTAAAGGAATACAGAGTTTATGCTGTAATACCCATAGGGGCCAATGATTGATGCGGTTGGTTGCTGCGTACATAATAGCTGCCAGCTACATGATAAGCTGTGAAGCAGCTTATTACTACATACCTGACAACCAGATAGCTTTATTATATATTAAGCCAGGCTATTACAATGCGTTTTACATGTTTGTAGCTTTAACTGTACTGCTTATGTACTTCCTGACCATGCACTGACTTATTTAAAACTGCATGACCTGTTTACACCAGGCCTCAGAAATCCGATAAATTGGGAAGCCTTAACATCTGAGATTAAGCTACCAGGCCGCTATACATCGCAGTATATCTTTTATCGCATTACATACATGACTGCATATATAATGAACATGCTCGTCTCATATAATTAGCACCATCAGCATTACCAACATGGTTTTTAAATGACAGACTGCTGATGTGACTTATCAGAATAGCTTCGAACCAGATATAGACACAGGCACGCTGACGGCTGTAAATGCATCAAGCTTTTAAGTCCCACGCAGCGGAAAATCAGATCCTTATATTAAACATATACTGTCACATACATCAGCAACGGATATCAGAGGTTCACTGGGATCATACACAGAAATAAGCTATACTGACCACGCAATTACATGCCACTCATAGGCGTGCGCAGCCTATTGCATTAGGGTGTGCACCCTAAAGCACAAGCACACGCCGCATATATATATGTATATATATATATATATATATATACACACATACACATATATACACACATACACACACTGCTGTGTGTGTGTGCTGTGTGAGGGTGCTGTTAGTGTGATGTGTGTGTGACGGTGCTGGTAGTGTGCTATGTGGGTGAGGGTGTTTGTGTGTGCGTGCTTGTGAGGATGCTGTTAATGTACTGTGTGTGAGGGTGCGGTTTGTGTGTGTTTGTGTGCGCTTGTGAGGGTGCTGTTAATGTACTGTGTGTGAGGGTGCTGTTTGTGTGTGAGGGTACTGTTAGTATGCTGTGTGTGTGTGAGGGTGCTGTTTGTGTGTTTGTGAGGGTGCTGTATGTGTGTGGGTGCTGTATGTGTGTGGGTGCTGTGTCTGTGGGTGCTGTATGTGTGTGGGTAATGTGTATGTGTGTGGGTAATGTGTATGTGTGTGGGTGCTGTGTATGTCTGTGGGTGCTGAATGTGTGTGGGTGCTGTGTGTGTGTGCTGTATGTGTGTGTGCTGTATGTGTGTGTGTGCTGTATGTGTGTGGGTGCTGTATGTGTGTGGGTGCTGTATGTGTGTGGGTGTGTATGTCTGTGGGTGCTGTATGTCTGTGGGTGCTGAATGTCTGTGGGTGCTGTATGTCTGTGGGTGCTGAATGTGTGTGGGTGCTGTGTATGTCTCTGGGTGCTGAATGTGTGTGGGTGCTGTGTATGTCTCTGGGTGTTGTATGTGTGTGTGCTGTATGTGTGTGTGGGTGTTGTATGTATGTGTGCTGTATGTGTGTGTGGGTGATTGTGGGGTGGAGGTGGGGGTACATTAATTGCTATCCCCCCTCCCTTCTTACCTTTTGTAGGGAGGGGGGATCGTGCTGCTGCTTTCCCTGGTGGTCCAGTGGAGAGTGAACTCTAGCTAGAGTTCACTCTCGCGAGATTTGAGCGTTGCCGTGGCAACGCTCATATCTCGCGAGAGGAACCCGGCGGAGCTGCCGGCAATAGCTCCGCCGGGTCCTCTCCTGCCTCCCTCCCTGCATGTGGGTCAGTGGGGAGGGAGGCTGAGAGCAGAGCCGGCGCTCGGATAGCGCCGGCTCTGCATGAGCCGACAGGGGAGATCCTGAGATCTCCCCTGCCGGTCTCAATATGCATAGGCGTGCCGCGGGGATTAGGGTGTGCCCAGGCACACCCGGCACACCCCGTGCGCACGCCTATGATGCCACTCCAGTGACATGCACGGCTACCGGATTATATCCAGGCCACATTTAACATTAGAGAATACATACAATTATAGGACGCAACCAGGAGCAGACGTTAATGTTACCGCAGTTAACAAACTAACAGTCTTTCATTGCCTTTTTATTCTACTAGCTCACTATGACATGCTTTTGATTGTGATGCCTACTTTTGAAAAAGCCGATGTATACTTAATATACGTGAATATGTGCATACATTGACCCATACGCCTCTGCGCAGGCAACCGCATGTTAGTCAGATGAAACCATAATATGTTTGTCTCATGTCAACTACAATTTTAAAACGCACGCCTCAACGTAGGCGACTAACCGCATCAACTGTACTACACTTGAAACACGCGTTGATACGGTGAAAACAATAAAAAATATTTAAAACAAAAAGCCAGACTTGAAAAAAAATATATAAATAAAAAAATTCAGGTATTTCTCCAGCTTTGTTCCTCTGACCCAACTTTTTTGGCAAAACCCTTATTAATTCTACATTATTCCTGGTTCAGTAAAAAAAACAAAAAAACTATTTGTTTAATGAAGCTCTGCTCAGCACATAACTACAAAACAGTAAAATAGAAGAGTGTTCCATGCATTGAAAATATCATAAAAGAGAGATTATACTGATTTCTCCTTCCGAGTTGACAGGAAATTAGCTATCCTTTGCTTCATATTTTCCCTCACTGGCCCTCCACCCGTTAATATTTCCTCCTTTACATTTCTTCCTCCGACTCCTCTTCATTTTTTATTTTTTCATTCCTTCTTGTTACCTCTACCCATATTTGTGTCCTTAATTTCCCCTTATGTTTTCTTTTAACTCCCAAGTGCGGCATTATATAATTTATCTCGATATTTTATATTTCTTCCCAGCATATTATATATAAAAATATGTTCATACATAAGTTACAAATTTAAAGACAAACATGCATGGGGAAATGTTTGAACTGGAATGAGAAAAGACTGAAGCACATGATTATGCGCTGTGCTCTGTGGTATGCTAAAAAGTGTATCTCTCGTCACATTGTAGCCATCTATGGACGAAGTGAAATCAGTGGTGATGCAGGAGAAAGCCTTATCATCGGCAGAACCCCTGAAAACACCTGTTGGGCCAGAGAACCAGAAATTATTCTGTGGTTTCTCTTTTATTAGCCCGCAATTTAAAATCCCATCCCAGTCCACAGCAGCTACTCCGTTGTAGAGAATCAACATCTGCTCTCTATGGCCTGACTACAGTGGACATTGCCAAGGTAAGGTAAATGCTGAAATATAGATAAATTGGAAATACATATGTATTACAATCATATTAATTAAAATATATGACAGGCCTTTTGAGGGGCATTGCTGCTGTTAAATTAGTTAGTAAATAACATTTTGGTGTAACTCAGCATTTTGGTTTAACTCAGGTGATGCAAATAAATAAATAGTCGAAAAATTCCAATCCAAGCAAAATGGTTTTATGGAAACCGAGAAAAAACAGCGACACCATTAGCTATTTACTAAATGGCATGGCAAATTTACGGGCGTAAAAGAACATGTTTTTAGCATAAATGTCATAGAGACCTACTTTCTTCTGTGGTACTGAAACAGTGATTATCTTTGATAATAAAGTCTTTGAAACCTCACCATAGAGAGCTGATGGCAAGACTTGCCCAAAAATGTGGTTACATGTAAAGTAATAATCTTGGTTGAATGAGAGACCTGTTACTCGACTATGATTGGTTAGCTTTATAAGTCAATCGTAGAAGACTAAAAAAAAAAAATTCAAGCTTTACAAAGCCCTGTTTACCACCCAAGGATTAAATGACCAGAGGCTACTTTTGGCATCCTGCCGTGGGAAGTTAACCCAAGCCAGCAGAGGAACTTGTGGTGAGACTATCTTCAGAGTTCCCAAAGACATAACTGAGATGCTGTTTAAATTAACCCATGCTTTGCAGTAACACTTAA